GCAGGACCAGCATCCTAGATGTCCCCTCTCAGTCATTACACTCTCACCCCCAAAATGGAAACCAGTGCTTTGTTACGTCAATTAGTTTGATGTGTTTTTGAACTTGATATAAATGTAATCATAAGGTATTTTTTGTTTTCTCTCAACATTGTCTGTGGGATTAATCCATGTCATTGTCTGTAATAATCTTTTCATGGTTATATAGTATCCTGTTGCATTACTATGCCACTATGTGCATGGACACTGGATTGTTTCCAAGTTTTGAATGTTACTAATAATGTAGTTGTGAAATTCTTGAATATGTCTTTTCATATATACTTGTATACATTTATGTTGCATATGAACCTAAGAATGGAATTACTGAGTCATAGGCGATACATCTGTTCAGCTTTAGTAGATACTGCAAAACAGTTTTCCAAAGTGGTTGCACTATTTTATAGTCCTAGCAGCACTATTGTGAGTCCAGTTGCTCCACACCCTCACCGGTATGTGGTATGGTCACTCTTTAGTTATAGACATTCTGGTGGGTATGTAATGGATTTAATTCTGGATTTTGTTTGCTTTTCTTTGATGACTAATGAGGTTGAGCACTTTTTAGTTGAACATTTGGGTATTCTCTTTGGTTAAATGCCCACTTTTGCCTGTTTTTCTGTTGGATTGTCATTTTCTTCTTGATTTGTACATGGTCCTTGTATACTTAGGAAAAGAGTATGTTTTTGGAGTTGTTGCTACTATCTCCTTCCATTCTGTGTTCTGCTTTTCTATTCTCTTAATGATGTCTTTTGATGAACAAGTTTTTAATTTTAATATAGTCCAGTTTATCTATCTTTTCCTTTAAGGTAAGTGTATTATATGCCCTATTTAAGAAATATTTGTTTATCCCAAGATCATGAATCTTTTACGTTATTCTCTAGAAACACTGTTCTACTTATCATATCTAGATCTAGAATCATCTAGAATCTGTTTTGTGCATGGTGTGAGGGAGATGTTAAAAATAATGTTTTTCCATATGGATATCCAACTGACCTAGTGCCATTTATTGTTGCATGGTTCTATTTATGCTAGTGACAATACCACACTGTAGGCTTAAAATAATTCAGTATCTAGTAGTGTGAGTCTTCAGGTTTGATGTTGTTATTCAAGATTGTATTGGTTATTTTTGGCCATTGCATTTTTTATATACATTTAAGAATCAGTTTGCCAATTTCAATAACAGAACAGCAACAACAAAAACCCGGAATTTTGATTAGGGTTTTATTGAATCTATAAATCAGTTTGGGGAGAATTACATCTTTACACAATTATGTCCTCTAATCCATGAACATAGTATATCCCTCCATTTATTTAGATCATTAATATTTTTCAATAATGTTTTGTAGTCTTTTATGTACAAGCCTGTTATCTCTTGTTGGATTTCATTTCTAGGTATTTGATTTTTTGTTGTTATTTAAAATAGTATCATTTAATTTCATTTTCAACATGTTGCTACTTACATTGTTTATTGTATGTTGACCTTATATTCTGTGACCTTGCTAAAAATTGATTTATCAATTCTAACAGCTTGATGTAGATTATGAGGCAGATTTTTTAGAGGATTATTTGACAATATAGAAGTTTTAAATGCATGCACCCTTTGCTTGTATGTGTATGCTTATAAATATTTACAAAATAAGTTTATTTCAGTCTTAAAATAGCAAATTAGAAATAACCTAAATGCCCATCAATCACAGTACATCCTTGTTATGTATGCTATGTTGCCTTTTAAAAAAATGGGGTAAACCATTTCTGCTAATATAAAAAGATGTCTGCATATAATGCTAAGTGAGAAAAAGTAAGATATATACCTTGCATAATCTGTGTGTAAACAGAAAAATATTTACCTGCATATGTACTTGTACATCCTTAGAAAATTTCTGAAGCGTATACTTATAACTTTTTTTCATTGTGTAAAAAATTGTTTTACTGAGGTATAATTGACATATAAAGTATGTATATATAAACTGTACAGTTTTATAAGTGTCGATACATGTATACACCTGTAAAACCATCATCACAATCAAGATTGTCAATATATTCTTCACCCTCAAAAGTTTTCTTGTTGTACTGTGTAATTTTTTCCCTCCCTCTTGTCCATCTCTGTTCTTTCCTCTCTCCATCCCAAAGCAACTACTAATGTGCTCTCTGTTATTTTACATTAGTTTTCATTTTCTAGAGTTTTGTATAAATGAGATCATACAGTATTTAGTGTATTTTCTGGGATGGGGGAGGAAGGTGGCATCTGGCTTGTTTAATAATTATTTAAGCGTAATTATTTTGTGATTCATCCATGCAGTGTGTATCAATAGTTCCTTCTTTTTACGCTGAATAGTTTTCCATTGTACAATATGCCACAATTTGTTTATTTGCCTATTGATGGACATTTGGGTTGTTTCCAGTTTTTGTCTATACAAATAAAGCTTCTATAAATATTTATGTACAAGTCTTTATATGGGCTTATATTCCCCCCCCTTTTTTTGTGGATAAATAAAGGTGGAATGGTTGGATAGCATGGTAGGTGTATACAGGTAGGTATATACAGTCAGCCCTTCATATCTGTGGGTTCTGTATCCACAAATTCAACTAACCTCAGATCAAAAATATTAAAAACAATAACAATAACCATACAATGAAAAAATAATACAAATAAAAACTATAACAACTATTTACATAGCATTTACATTGTATTAGATATTATAAGTAACCTAGAGATGATTTGAAGTATACAGGAGTATGCAAATACTATGCCATTTTATAGAACAGACTTGAGCATCTGAGGATTTTAGTATCCACAGTGGTCCTGAAACCAATCCCCTGCAGATATCAAGGGATGACTGATTGTATTTAGCTTTTTAAGAAACTGTCACACTGTTTTACAAAGTGGTACCATTTTACATTTCCACCAACAGTGAATGAAAGCTGTTTTTCTACATCCTTTTCACCACTTGGTATGGTCAGTCTTAAACTTTTCCATTCTAATAGACGTTCAGTGGTATTGGAACTTTTAATTTGTATTGTCCTGATGGCTGATGGTGAGCATCTTTTTAAGTGCTGTTGCCGTTTGTGTATCTTCTTTTGTGAACTGTCTATTCAAATAAAAATATTGAGTGTTCTGATCCATGAACTAGGCATATCTTAGATTGTTTAGGCCTCCTTGAATTTCAGCAATATTTTGTACTGTACAGGCCTTTCACTTGTCACATTTTCTGCTAAGTATTTCATAATGTTTGGTATTATTGTAAATGCCTGCTTTTTAAATTTCAGTTTTTAAATTTTAATTGCTCATTGCTAGTATAGAGAAATACAATTTGTTTTTGTGCATTGATCTTCTATTCTGCAGCCTTGTTAAGTGGTCTTATTAGTTCTACTAGGTTTTTTTTTTTTTTGGTAGATTCCATTGGATTTTCTACATAGACAGTCATGTCTGTGAATATAAAGGCCCCCCCCCCCCACTGCCCAATATGGAGACCTTTTATTTGTTTATCTTGCACTATTGCACTGGTGGAACCTCCAGTACAATGTTGAGTAGAAGTGGTAAGAGCAAACTCTTTATCATGTTCCTGATCTTATGGAGGAAAGCATTGTTTCTTTCACCATTAAGTGTGATGCTAGCTGTAAGTTTTTGTTGTTGTTTCTAAAAGATGGCCGGTAAGGGTATCTTAACCCTTGACTTGGTGTTGTCAGCACTACGCTCTCCCAAGCGAGCTAATCGGCCATCCCTGTATAGGATCCGAACCTGTGGCCTTGGTGTTATCAGCACCGCACTCTGCCGAGTGAGCCACGGGCCGGCCCCTTAGCTGTAAGTTTTTCATAGATGTCCTTTATCAGGGTTAGGAGTTCACTTGTTTTCCTAGTTTTCTGAGAGTTTTCATCAAGAATGAAAGTTTCATTTGTCGGATGCTTTTTCTGCATCTATTGAGATGATCATATAGATTTTCTTTTTAAATTTATTAATATAATGAATAACATTGATTGCTCTTTGAATATTAAACCAACCCTTCATTCCTGAGATAAACCCCACTTGTTGTTTTTTTTTCCCCCTTTTAAAAAAATTTCAATTTATCCCCCTCCCGCCCCTGTTATGTATTGTATTATTCTTTTTTTTTTCTTTTTTACTGACCGGTAATGGGATCGCAACTCTCGGTGTCGCGCCCGTACCGGGGACCGGCAACGGGATCGCAACCCTTGGTGTTGCGCCCGCACCGCGCTCAACCAGTGAGCGGGAACTGGTCTCCACATGAGATCCGAATCCTCGACAGGAGCGCCGCCACACTCCCAAGCAGCACACTCTCCAGTGCGCCACCGGGCCAGCCCATGTATTGTATTATTCTTTTAAAATATTGTTGGATTTGATTAGCTAAGGTTTTTTGTTTGTTTGTTTTGGTGGCTGGCTGGTATGGGGATCCAACCCCTGTTGACCTTGGTGTTACAACACTGCATTCTAGCCAACTGAGCTTACCACCAGCCCCTGATTAGCTAAGATTTTGTTTAAGTGTTTTGCATTTATGTCATGAGGTGATATTAATGTGTAGTGTTCTTTTCTTGTAATGTCTTTATCCGGTTTTGATAAGAGGATAATGCTGACCTCATAGAATGAATTCTTCAATGTTTTGGAACAATTTGTGTAAAATTAAATGGTAGATTACACTAGTGAAGATATTTGTGTCTGGAGTTTTCCTTGTGGGAAAGTTTTAAATTACAATTTCAATTTATTTAATAGAGATAGAGCTAGTCAAGTTATTAATTTCTTTTTGAGTGAGCTTTGATAATTTGTGTCTGTCAAGGAATTTATTCATTTCATCTAAGTTATTGAGATAAAGTTCGTCATAATATTCCCTTATTATCCTTTGCATATGTGTAGAATCTTTAATGATTTCACCTCTTTCATTCCTGAAATTAGTAATTTGTTTCTTCTCTCTTTTTTCATGTTCAGTCTGGTTAAGATTTTGGGGTTTTTTCGTGGCTGGGCTATAGGGGAATTGAACCCTTGACCTTGGTGTTATAAGCACCACACTCTAACCAACTGAGCTAACCATCCAGCCCCTGACTTTATTGCTTTAAAATGACCTTCTTTCCCTGTACCAACCAGCCACCCCCCACAAATAAATAAATAAAATGACTTTCTTTATCCCTCATAATATTTTTTGATCTGAAATCTACTTTGATGTGAAGCTTTAGTTTTTTGGCATCTGGCCTGTAAGGGGATCCAAACCCTTGACCTTGGTGATATCAGCATCACTCTCTAACCAAGAGAGCTAACTGGCCAGCCAGATGTGAAACTTTCTTTTGACCAGGATTAGTTTAGCATATCGTTTTCCATCTTGTAGCTTTTAGCTTATTTGTCTTTCTATTTAATGTGCATTACTTGTAGGTATCTTATCATTGGGCTTTTCCTTTTTATCCAATCTGATAATCTTTCCTTTCTTTCCCTCCTTCCTTCCTTCCTATTTTCTTTTTTTGGCAGGTGACTGATACAGGATCCAAACTCTTGACCTTGGTGTTATCAGCACCACACTCTAGCCAAGAAGTGAGCTAACCAAGCCAGTGTTTATCTCTGCCTTTTAATGGGGTGTTTAGACCATTAACATTTAATGTGATTGTTAATATGGTTAAGTTTGAGTCTATCATCTTGCTCTTTTAATTTTTCTGTTTGTATCACCTGTTTATTTTTTCTTTTTCTACTTTTTTTGGATTGTGTATATGTATTATCCTATCTCCTTTGGTAGCTTATTAAGTATAATTCTTCATTTTGTCATTTTATGGTTGTATCTGGGTTTATAGTGTACATCTTTTTTTTTTTTTTGTCCTTTTTGTGACCGGTAAGGGGATCGCAACCCTTGGCTTGGTGTCGCCTGCACCGCGCTCAGCCAGTGAGTGCACCAGCCATTCCCATATAGGATCCGAACCCGAGGCGGGAGCGCCACTGCGCTCCCAGCACCGCACTCTCCTGAGTGCGCCACGGGGTCGGCCCTATAGTGTACATCTTTAACTTATCAAAGTCTACCTTAAAGTGATATTATATTACTTCACATATGCTAAAAGAACCTATCAACAGTATACTTCAGTTTCCCACTTCCCATTCTGTTTTTGCTATTATTTTCATACATTTTACTTGTAGATATATTATAAACCCCATGATACACTGATATTCTTTTTCTTTAAACAGCTAATTATTTAATGAGATTATATAAAATATAACACAGTCTCATACATTTACCCACGTGGTTACCAGTTCTGTACTTTTCATTCCTGTGTGTAGATACAAATTTCAATCTGATATAATTTTCCTTTTTCCTATAGAACTTCCTTTAACATTTATTCTAGTGTAGACTGTGACAAATTCTTTCAGCTTTTGTATGTCTGACAATGAAAACACCTTTATTTTATCTTTACTTTCTAAAGATAGTTTTGCTGGTATAGAATTCTAAGTTGATAGGTTTTTTTCTTTTCATATTCTCATGATGTTGTTTCATGCTTTTTATGCTTGGGGTGTTTGTTGAGCTTCTTGGGTCACTTTACAGTTTTTATCAAGTTTGGATGTTTTGGTCACATTCAAAATTTATTTTTCTTCTTTCCACACCTCTCCTTTAAGGAATCTAAGTTATCACACAGCTCAATAATCCCCTCCCCCCTTTTTTTCTGTATGTTTTATTTTGGATAGTTCCTATTGTTATACCTTCAAATTCACTAATCTTCTCTTCTGTAATTTTTAATCTGTCATTAATCCCATTCAGTATATATTTCATCTCTGACTTTGTAGTTTTCTGTCTAGAAGTTTGATTGATTTGGATTTTTTTTTATATTCAATGTCCCTAAACATTTGGAACATAATGTAATACAGTTATTATAACTATTTTAGTGTCCTTCACTGCTAATTCTTTTTTTTTTTTTAAAGATGACCGGTAAGGGGATCTTAACCCTTGGCTTGGTGTTGTCAGCACCACGCTCACCCAGTGAGTCAACTGGCCATCCCTATATGGGATCTGAACCTGTGGCCTTGGTGTTATCAGCACCACACTCTCCCGAGTAAGCCACGGGCTGGCCCCTTCACTGGTAATTCTAACATATCTATCAGGTTTGAGTTTATTTCAATTGATTGACCTTTCTCCTTGTTATGGGTTGTATTTTCCTGCTTCTTTGCATGCCTAGTAATCTTTGGATGTTAGACATTGTGGATTTTATCTTGTTGGGTGCTGAATATTTCTATATTCATATAAAGCATCTTGCACTTTTCTCTGAGATGCAGTTAAGTTACATGGCAACGTGGATCCTTCTGGGTCTTGCTTTTATGATTAGGCAGTTTTGGAGTAGGGCTCAGACTAGAAGTAATTATTTTCCACTATTGAAGCAAGACCTCCTATTTCTTCTACTCAAAGCCCACAAATTATGAGTTTTTCTAGTCTGGTTTTAGGGAGCAGACACTGGTTCTGACCCGGTATGAACACTAGGCACTATTCCCTTTCATTTTCTCAGATGTTTATTTCTCCAGCCTTGGGTAGTTTCCGCACATGGGTGTGTCGATCAGTATTCTACTGAGTACTCAAGGGGGACCCTCTGTATATCTCTTGAGTTTTCTGTCTTTATTCAGCTCTCTTCTCTCTGATACTCTGTTCTATAAACTCTAGTTGTCTTCAACCCTCCATACTCAGCTCTGTCTCATCTTTAGACACTTCTCTCTTTCTGTGCCAAGGCCTAGAGACTCTCACAAGACACTAAACTGGTGACTCACAAGACACTAAATTGTAGGACTCACCTAATTTATTTCTTAGGGATTATTGTCCTTTGTTGTCTGCTGTCCAAGTTTTGACATGTATTTTGTCTTTTTTGTTGTTGTTGTTGTTGTTTTAGGCAAGAGGGTAAATTCAATTCCTATTACTCTATCTTGGCCAGAAATGGAAATATTTACTTAGAACTTTTTTTCCTTTTTTTTTTTTTTTTTGTCTTTTTTCGTGACCGGCAATGGATCGCAACCCTCAGTGTCGCGCCCGTACTGGACCGGGACCAGCAACGGGATCGCAACCCTCGGTGTTGCTCCCGCACCTCGCTCAGCCAGTGAGCGGCCGGTCTGTATGTGGGATCCGAACCCTCGGCGGGAGCGCCACCGTGCTCCCAAGTGGCGCACTGTAGCAGTGCGCCACCGGGCCGGCCCATACTTAGAACTTTTAACTCTGTTTATCTCTGAAGAGTGTCTACCATTCTATATATTTTGAACTTGTTACTATGAACATTTAGTAACAAATTATTGCATCTTTAAAATTCTGGCAAGGCAAAAAGGCTGTAAAATTTCTGTCTAACGAGTGGATCAGCTGTACTCTGGACTCCCTGAATGACTTTCCAGTTGTAAGGTAGTGCAGATTAGCAGTTAAGAGCTTAGACTCTGGGATCAGACTACCTGAGAGTGAATCCTCCCTTTGCGAGTGTGAATCTTTACCTCTCTGAATATGGGTTTCTCTTATCTGTACAATGAGGATAATAACAGTACTCATTTATCTCATAGTAGTATTGTGAGCAGTAGGATTTATGTAAAGTAATTCAAACAATGCCTAGTGTATTAGTCTGTTTAGGTTGCTTATAACAAAATACTTGGAACTGGGTAATTTCTGAAGAAAAACGAAATTTATTGCTTACAGTTTCTGAGGCTGAGAAGTCCAAAGTCCATCTGGTGGTGGCGACAGTGACCCAGGGGTCTCACTTTGCAAGACGGTGGGAGCAGAGAGAGCAAGAGAAAGAAAGACAGACTCTTCTCTTCTTTTAAAGCCCTCAGAACCACACTCCAGGCCACCATATTTAATCCATCCACTACTGTATGGCCTTACAATCCAATCACCTCTTTAAGGCTTCACCTTTCAATCACCGTAGTAGGATTTCCCACCCTCTTAACAGTCACAATGGGGGCTAATTTCTAATACATAAAACTTGGAAGACAATCCAAGCCTCAGTGAGTTTTGTGGGGACATAATTCAACCCACTACACCTAGCAAATGGTAAATGCTTGAATATTGTTGGCTGTTGTAAATTGAAACAATGAGGAAACTACCCTCCTAAACACAAGATGTGATTTCTTGGGGAAAACTTTTACAGTTGTCTAGAGATAAAATAACTTTCCTGCTTTTAGGTAAAGTTTATGAAGCCATCTTTTTCTGGAGGATTGAAGGAATAATTGAGCAAGTCAGAAAAGATAGACTTTGTTCATTTGCACACTGGGTTTTACTATGAGCCCATGTCTGAAAGTTCTGGGCTGATGAAATGTTAATAGCACCAAAAGTTTTTCTTTTGTGGCACTAGGGACAAGGCAGAACAGTTGGCATTTGTAACAGATCTTCAGGAAGGAATGAAGAACACTTGAAATGGTAAATATTAGGGGCCGGCCCAGTGGCGCACTGGATAGTGCGCCGCTTGGGAAGCGCGGCGGCGCTCCCGTCCGAGGGTTCGGATCCCACGTATAGACCGGTTCCTGCTCACTGGTTGAGCGAGGCGCGGGAGCAGCACCGAGGCTTGCGATCCCGTTGCCGGTCCCCGGTCCGGTACGGGGGCAACACTGAGGGTTGCGATCCGTTGCCGGACACGGAAAAAAGACAAAAAA